ATATATATATATATATATATATATATATATATATATATATATATATATATATATATATATATATATATATATATAAACAATTCACAAATAGGTCTATGCTAGAAAATTTAGCGTGCTTTGGCCCGGTTTAAGGCAACTGTACTTAGTGTGAGTACGCCCTAAGGCCCAATTCAAATTCTACCCCTTAGCCCTTTCCCTTGCCCTGTCCCAATCTTGATATCTATGCCTTTAGTGATTTGCTGAAGATAAATACCATAAAATAACACAACTGAAATAACTACAGCAGTCGTCATCATCGATCTAATATAAAGTAAGAGATCGCGATGACATAGGATGACGTGTGCAGGTGCTGTAATGGTGTCCCATTCTTAGCGGTAAATTTTGAAGCTCTTCCTCTTCAAACTCTGTTTCAAATGCCGAAGGGGAAGGGGCAAGGGTACAAAATAGAATTGGGTTCGGCTAATTTGAGTATTTTGAATTCGTTACTTTACACCACTGGTGAGATCAAGTGCATGTGTGCATTTATAAATGAAAGTGTTTGCTTTCTGCATGAAGAATGAGGCCTCTTTAAATGGTGGTTTTGCTTCTTTGGCTTTATCATCGTTGTGTTTTCTCTGCTTTCATCAGAACTGCAACCCATTAGAACATTTCATTTGTGTCCATGAGCTTCTGTTCTGAAGTCTATCAATGCAAACTTTCTTTTTTAAATCACTCTTGTCATCTGGCATGGTGTGTTGACTTGTCTAAGTGCACGTTTGCCCTCTTTTCTTGTTTTTTTTCCTGCTCGGTGATGGATCCTCAATCTGTCAACTCTCAGAAATGGTACCCATCACGACAGGTATGTCAATAACCCCCACAAAAAATGATGTTACTTACTAAGGAAGTTGGAAGTAGTTCATTAAGGCAACTTGCGAGACCATTATCGATTTAATGTCTGCTATCTTCCATTTAACAGATTTGATGATCCTGACAGCACTCTTGCGGAGAACATTGAGTTCCTGCCCAACAGCGAGAGCAAGAAGCCACGTTTCACTGATGTAAGTGTAACCTTATAAGTAACCAAATTAAATAATGAAATGTATACACTGAAATGATATACAGTTGAAGTCGAAATTATTCGTCCTCCTGTGAATTTTCATTTTCAAATATTTCACAAATGATGTTTTACATTGTTTAATTTTTCTCAGTATTTCCTACAATATTTCTTCTTCTGGAGAAAGTCTTATTTGTTTTATTTTTACAATAAAAGCAGTTTTAATTTTTTAAAAACATTTAAGGTCAACATTATTAGCCTCCTTAGGGGCTGATCACACAGAACACACTTTTTGCATTGAGAGACATATCTTTTTATTGATTTACTTCCATAATTTGCCTCCCCTTTTTTTAATGATTTACTTCCATAATTTGCCTCCCCTTTTTGCTGTTGCTCGCTGTGCTCACAGTTAAAAAAAAAGTCAACTCTGAGCGGAAAAATTGTCACTTGGGTCTTTTTCATTCTCCAATCAAAAGAAAGCAGAGGTGACTGAAGTGTTTGTGTTGTCAAGTTAGTGTCAGTGTTGTTGTTGACTCAACTATAAAATTACAGTTATTGTTCCTTTACATTAAATATATATATATATATTTTTTTATTTCAGCTAATTGCCAAGGAAATATTTCTATTAAAATATTTGCATGTTTCTATCAAATTCTGAAATGTTTAGTCTACCTTAAAACTAAAATAAAAATGTTCTAAAATGTATATAGACATGTTACAAAAATAATAAAAATGACTATGAACAACAAAAATGCTTAAACTTGAGTTTTTTTGTGTATTTTAAATCTATATTTTAAAATAAAAATATTATCTTATATTGTTATAAAATAAACAAATTTCCCTAATATTTAATTATATCAAATATTTATTTAAATTATTATTTTTTTTTTTACTTTTGCTTAACCTATTAAAGCTGTAAAACAACAAATATACAACACTGTAAAAAAAATCCATAAATGTTATTAGCTTTCTTAGTGGACAATCACACCGAAGCTATGTTTGCGTTGAGAGGCACATCTTTTGAATTACACTACTAACGGCCGCCCTGCACGACTCGCGTTTTAACCACCTGCTGCACCTCACGCTTTTCTGATTGCGTGTTGCGTGCTTAATTAAAAAAAAGTCAACTCTAAGCGGAAAAAGCACATGATGTCAATCGTGTTTTTTTCATTCTCCAATCAAATGAAAGTAGAGGCGGAGTTTCTGTTGACTTGACAGCAGTGTTTGTTTTGTCAAGATGACTACGGAGACTTTTGAAGATAGAGGAGAGACTAGAGCTGCGTCCCAAATGGCACACTAAAAACTATGCACTATGTACTTGTGCACTTACACACTCAACAGCATAATAAATGTATGTAGTGTCGTCCCAAATGGAGCACTAATGTTTTTTTACTAAGCGGAAATTTAAACCGTTTCCCTGATGACGTTTGACGATTGCCATATCAGTGAAATAATTGACCAAACAATACTTGCCATGAGTTTAACCGAATTCACCATTGGGATGCGCTATAATAACTCTCGTGGAAGAATTTTGTTTTCACCATCCAAGATAAATAATCCAACATGTGTGCCTGATAGTTTCGCCCCTTCTGCTACATGAGCAAACCTGCAGGAGTTGAGTGCATGAAGTGTCCATCATTCCACACTTCAATTTACCAAATGAATAAGTGCATCATCCGGGTAATTAAAGTGCACATATTACACTATTTACACTACAATATGGCCTGGAATAGTGCATAAGTATGCGATTTGGGACCACCTTAGTTGCTGTTTTGAATTATACAGAACTGTATGACTCGCAGATCATGAATATCACAATATTATTAAATATTATAATTATAACAATATCGAAGGCAACACTTGCGCACAATACGCAGCTGATTCAGTCGTTGCCTAGCTAAATAAAAAGCGCACCACGCTTCTTTTATTTTATCAACAAAGAGTGGTGCGCCTTGCGTATTTAGAACGGTAAAGTGCGTTCTGTGATCGACCCCTACACCGTTCAAAAGATGCACCTCTCAACGCAAAAAGCGTGTTCGATGTGATCGGCCCTTGATGCAATTTTTTTTTTCAAACCATCAATATACAATTGCTTGCCTAATTACCCTAACTTGCCTAATTAACCTAATTAAGCCTTTAAATGTCACTTTAAGCTGTATAGAAGTGTCTTGAAAAAGATCTAGTCAGATATTATGTGCTGTCATCATGACAAAGATAAAATAAATCAGTTATTAGAAATGAGTTATTAAAACTATTATGTTTAGAAATGTGTTGAGAAAAATCTGGGAAATAAATTGGGGGAATAAATGTACAACTATTCTGACTTAAACTGTATATGTTTGTTGTCATCAATCTTATTTTCTCTCTTAGTTTGATGGGAAGACGTCTTTTGGCATGTCGGTCTTCAATTTGGGCAATGCCATTATGGGCAGTGGGATTCTGGGATTGGCCTACGCTATGGCCAATACTGGCATATTGCTGTTCTTGTGAGTCAAAATCTTTCATTACCTTTTTAACGGCAGATTGACTGAGAATGTAATTGGATGTTGTGTGCTTGTCTGATGCGAAGCATCATTGAATCATCTCATAGTCATGCAAATGAATCTGTCACCTTCAGCCCTCAGTGATTCAGCCTTCTTTTTTTTTTTTACTTTACCTGAATGGCAAGCATTTGGCCACCCATTGGCGGTCTAATTGCCATGGTAATTAAAGCTTTGTTTTCCATATGTTATTTTTCCAGACATGCTCTTGAATAATTGAGTGTTCCCTTTTGGAGGCTGTTAATACCGATGAATATGGGTCAGAAAGGACTTTGTATGGAAAAGGCCCGCCCATTGCATTGTGTTAAATGACACGCAAACCACTGTTTGGCCTATTTACAAACAAAAAATAATTTAAAACTTCTGAAATATGAGCTAAAGTACTGCAAAAAAGGATAACACTTTATTTTTGATGGTCCATTCGAGTATTAGAAGATTGTGTGTGTGTGTGTGTGTGTGTGTGTGTGTGTGTGTGTGTGTGTGTGTGTGTGTGTGTGTGTGTGTGTGTGTGTGTGTGTGTGTGTGTGTGTGTGTGTGTGTGTGTGTGTGTGTGTGTGTGTGTGTGTGTGTGTGTGTATTATATATGAATATATACAAATTACAAATACAATTATATACAAATATTTTTACACATTAATACATGTATATTTAAATTTACAAATACTTACTTATGTAAATGTACAAGTTAGTGTCAATTATTAGCTGAACCATAAAATTAAATTATTTTTGTTGCTTTAATTTAAATAAACTTTAAGTAGAAAAATAATACCACTGTTCTGTCATTGGAAATCTTTAAATGAAAAAAAAGAAAAGATTGGAAAAGAGTGGAATATGGGAAATAATATAGTGGATACTTAAATCTAAAGTAAAAAGTACTGAAAGACAGTATTACAAAAGTACAAAAGTCTGTATAAGTACAGACATATTACAAAACAAATGCTACATATAATGACAATGAACAACAAAACTTGAATATTTAAAAAATCTATTTATTATTATTATTATTATTATTAATTTATTTATTTTATTATTATTATTATGTTTTTATAAAATAGACAAAATTCCTCATATTTAATTATATCAAATATTTATTTAAATAAAAAATGTTGACTTCTACTTAACCTTCTAAAGCTGTAAAACAACAAGAATATAAATATACACTACAAAAATGTCCATAATTTATCAGTTTTCTGTATATTTTAATTAGTTTTTATTTTTTCCCGCCTTTTATTTATGCTTTTGAATTACATTATGGGACCTTGATTTTTCTTTCAACAACTTTTAACCTTGAAAAGCTCGAAAAAGTGACTTGATAACATTTTTAATAGTTTAAAGTGATATATCGTCTATGTTGGTGTTGTTTATTGATTTAATACACCGCCAGACCATTTTCTGTTACTTTATAGTCTTATTTCTTTGTATATTATATTATTTTAAACTACTAAAAGGTCAATTAAAGTCACTTTGTTAAACTGTAGTGTTGAATTTTCAACATCAAAAGACGGTCAACAGAGATCAGCATCCCATAATGCAACTCACAAATGTAAATAAACAGAAAACACTTGAAACAGTTAATTAACAGATATTTTTACATTGTATATTCTGGCAAGCAGTTCTTACTAGTATATTTCCAAAGAGAAAAGGAGGAAAGTGAGCACATCTGTCCCTCCTGTTTAATCTTTATTCCCTTCCTATTTAAAATTTTCCACCAGTAAGCTCCACCCCTTTTGTCTCTCCAAGGCCCCTTAAAGGCCATGACCTGATCTGGCCACGCCCCTTTACCATCAGTCTGCCCACCTCCAAATCTAATATAGCTGTCATATTTGGTTTCTTCTGGCGGGTCGTCTTGATTTGACTGGCGAGGAGAGACGTCTAGTTCCCCAGATCCAGTCAGGTTACAGGCAACTGAATCCTGCCGATCACATTACCTCACAAGCCAAGACCAATTCCTCCAAACATAGTCTTATTTCCAGGTATAAAACGACAAATGGATCTACCTCATGGGGGTAGAAACCTCACGGATGCCTGTGAGGAGGCAGTTTAAGCAGGTCTTGTGTTTTTAAAGTGTAGTCTTCTTTACTATCTATGAAATGTAAAATTGCATACATTTTTGTTGGCTGTAAGCAGGTTATTTAAGCAGGTTTATTTAGTTTGTGAGTTTTGTGAGGTTTACCTTTGCGTGGTGTTTATACTGTATATAAAAACATTCATTAAAGTTCTGCAAAGATTTTTGCAGTCAACGACTAAATATTTTTGATCTTGCACTTAAATTCTTACTGAAGATGCATTGGTCTTGATCTTTCCAAGATGCAGAAATGCAGAAGATGGACCAAAAGTGTAATTATTGCTCTCCAGATGGCACATTTTGACCCTTTAGCATCTATTTTGTGCATAAAATGTGGATATCAATAAATAAAAATAAAACAACTCAAGTGCATTTACCTGGAAAGCCAGTTTAGTAATAAAGTATCTTAATAGATGGTTTGAAAAATATAAGAAAAACTAAAATTAAAATGAAGAAAATTATCCTAAAAAAGTATATTGAAGTAACTAAAAATATACTCCGTTTAAATAACAAAAATGCATTGATGTTGTTGGTCGTAAGCAGATGTTATTTGTAGAATCTATAAAATGTTTATGACCTTCTTATAAAGCATGCATTTACATGTGATTATGTTAAAACAACTAGACAAGAATAACAATTTTGGAAATAAATCTGAAGGAAAATGTTTTATTTCTTTTAAAAAATATTTTTTTTCTTAAGATTTTATTTTATTATGGAGTGCAGTTTGACTATTATTTGAAACATTTTTGTGAGGTTAATTTTTGTGTGTTTTTTATACTTTATATGAAGAATGTCTAAATGTTTTAATAGTGATGAAATATGTTAGTAGTTTATTTACGTTTAGCTGTAAATTGTCATAATGTTGTTCTGCATGACTTTTTGTAGTCAGTTTTAATCTTGGACTTAACTTCCTGCTGGAGATGCAGTGAAATTTCAGTTAAATTATTATTATCTGTTTTTGCACTAGGTTTGGACCAAAATTATTGAAATTTAAGTGCTGCTTTCCAGTTGGCACATTTTGATTGTTCAGCTTTAATTTGTGTGTGTTTATATATATATATATATATATATATATATATATATATACACACAAACAGTTGAAGTCAGATTTATTAGCCCCTCCTTTAATTTTTTTTCTATTTTAAATATTTTTCAAATGATGTTTAGCAGAGCAAGGACTTTTCACAGTGTGTCTGATTATATTCTTATTTGTAAGTCTTATTTGTTTTTATTTCAGCTAGAATAAAAGCAGTTTTTAATTTTTTTAAAAACATTTTAAGGACAAATTATTAGCCCCTTTAAGCTATATATATTTTTTCGATAGTCTACAGAACAAACTATCGTTTACAATAACTTGCCTAATTACCCTAACCTGCCTAGTTATTATAATTAACCTAGTTAAGCCATTAAATGTCACTTTAAGCTGTATAGAAGTGTCTTGAAAAACATGTAGTCAAATATTATTTACTGTCATGTGTTGAAAACATGTTGAAAACTACTCTTCGTTGAACAGAAATTGGGGAAAAAATAAACAGGGGGCTAATAATTATATATATATGTATATATGTATATATATATATATATATGTATATGTATATATGTATATATGTATATATGTATATATATATATATATATATATATATATATAAATATGTATATGTATATATGTGTATATATATATATATATATATATATATATATATATATATATATACACACACACACAGTTGAAGTCAGAATTATTAGCCCCTCTGAATTATTAGCCCCCCTGTTTATTTTTCCCCAATTTCTGTTTTTCATTAATTAATTAATTTGTTTGTTTCAGTTTTTTAATCAGCTGCATAAAAATCTGTTTAAGGCCAGAAGTTTAATTTTTGTACTTTTTCAAATACCACTTATAATCTAAATTACTAAAACATTAAAAGCATTTTTTAAAATAAAGTAAAATAAATGCAGATTCATGTGTCTTTATTGTAGATGCATTATATATATGCAAATGCTGTGTTTACTTCCTGTGATCAAGACTTATTTTGCATGCTAAAGGCTTATGCAGCTTCTGAAGTGTATGAACATCCATCTCATTTAAATACAGTCGTTCCAGAGCTCGTCTCAGCGCATTGTTAATTACTTGCCATTTATCAGGTACTTATCATCCAAATGGACTTGAAATACACTGAACTCAGGGACCGTCTGCCTCCTGCAGTTAAAGGGATATTTCACCTAAAACTGAAAATGATTTTGTCACTTATTCACACTTCACTTGTCACAAACCTGAGTTTCTTTGTTCTATTAAACACAAAGGAAGATATTTTGAAGAATGTTAGAAACTGGTAACCATTGACTTCCATAGTATTGGTTTTTCATACTGGTGGCCAGATTATAACATTCTTCAAAATATCTTCTTTTGTGTTCAACAGACTAAAGCAATAAATCATTTTATAAAACTGATTTAAATCCACACGAGGGAAAGTAAATGATGAGGTAATTTAAATATTTGGGTGAACCATCCATTATCCATATCTAGAGAAAGCAGGTTAAACTTTTACAGATATTTAGAAGGACTATGGTAAAACGTTTTGCGAATATGAGCCTAAATTGCTGACAATGCATATTAATATCAGACTGAAAAAGGACAAATGTGTTTAAAAGTGTAGATAAGCTCAAATTGTTCATGCTGTTTAATATCCTTCACTTGTAAATGTTTTGATCAATACATTGTAATAATTTAGAGCCTTTGGGAAAGTATAATAAAGACTGTAAGATAGTTGTGATACAGTTGTGCTTTTCTTAACAGTTGGCAGACACAGGATTTCCATTACATTATAGCTAAAGGATGAATTGGTTAATATTGGCTACTGGTTTGTTTGATCACTGGGTTTCAAAGAATAGCTTATCAGCAGACGTACTTTTTAGCTTCCAACACAAACACTGGCCTTTTCCCAAGATTCATTCAGCAGTAAATCTTTCACAACAACACTAATATATCAGGGAAAAAATATAAAACTGTACACTTTATCATTAAATAAGGCAGAACAATTATGAATGCATTTTACTTTAAATACTAGCTATATATTTGTATTTCAGTTATTTATATGTTTGTAATCATAAATATTTGTGTAATATATTGATATAATAGAACGAGCCAAAACCATTTCAGATTCAAGGTCAGTTAAATGTCAGTTCTGTTAGTAAAAAGTGGACAGTCAAGAATGAGACGTTTCTAGATTGCTGTATAAACTATTGTCGAACTGAAATTAAATTGGTCTATTCTATAAAAGAAAATATCATAGACATCATTTTTGGTCAGAAAACAAGTTAATTATACCAAATGGTTTGATGAATTGGTCTGAAGTACATTAATCTTCTGTAAAGGAACTGCAATGTTAATCAGATGTGAAGTGATTCTGATGGCTGTATTTTGTTTAAGGTTTCTCCTGACGGCTGTAGCGGGTCTGTCCTGTTACTCCATTCACCTCCTGCTCAAGTCCTCTGGTGTTGTGGGTAAGATGAAACTCCATCCATCTATCCATCCATCCTTCCGTTCATCCATCCATCCATCCATCCATCCATCCATCCACCCATCCATTCACCCACCCATCCATCCACCCATCCATCCATCCACCCATCCATCCATCCATCCATCCACCCATTCCCCCATACATCCATCCATCCATCCATCTATCTATCCATCCATCTATCTATCTATCTATCTATCTATCTATCTATCTATCTATCTATCTATCTATCTATCTATCTATCTATCTATCTATCTATCTATCTATCTATCTATCTATCTATCTATCTATCTATCTATCTATTTATCCATCCATCCATCCATCCATCAATCCATCCATCCATCCATCCATCCATCCATCCATCCATCCATCCATCCATCCATCCATCCATCCATCCACTCATCCATCCACCCATCCATCCATCCACCCATCCATTCACCCATCCATCCATCCATCCACCCACCCATTCATTCATCCATCCATCCATTCATCCATCCATCCATCCATCCATCCATCCATCCATCCATCCATCCATCCATCCATCCATCCATCCACCCACCCATCCATTCACCCATCCATCCACCCATCCACCCATCCATCCATCCATCCATCCATCCAACCACCCATTCCCCCATACATCCATTCATCCATCCATCCATCTATCCATCCATCTATCTATCCAGCCATCCATCCATCCATCCATCCACCCATCCATCCACTCATCCATCCACCCATCCATCCATCCATCCATCCATCCATCCATCCATCCACCCATCCACTCACCCATCCATCCATCCATTCATCCATCCATCCACCCATCCATCCACCCATCCATCCACCCATCCACCCATCCACCCATCCATCCATCCATCCATCCATCCATCTCTTAAATTAATATTTTCTTCGCTTTAACAAACACGTACTAATTACTGGCAAATGCAGAGAGGCTATATACATTTACACTACCTAACAAAAGTTTTGTCATAGATCCCAGTTGTAAGAGCACCAAATAATAACTTGACTTCTAGTTGATCATTTGGAAAAGTGGCAGAAAGTAGATTTATCTGATAAATCTGTTGAGCTGCATCCCAATCATCGCAAATACTACGGAAGACCTACTGGAACCCGCATGGACCCAAGATTCTTACAGAAATCAGTCAAGTTTGGTGAAGGAAAAGTCATGGTTTGGCGTTACATTCAGTATGGGGGCATATAAAAGATCAGCAGAGTTGATGGCAGCAGCATCATGAGTAATCAAGACAGTAGTGCTTCCTATTACATTACAAACCACAGGAGAGGGCAAATTCAAATCAAATCAAATCACTTTTATTGGCACATCATCAGCAGCACGTGTGCTATGATGAGTGAAAAGCTTAGGTGCTGGCCCCAGACAGTGCAAATACAACGACAGTGCAAATAAAATGACAGTGCAAAATACAGACAGTGCAAAATACAACAGCATACCCCCCCCCCCCCAAAAAAAAAAAAAACAGGACAATGTAAAAATTGACAGCGATATGTACAATGAATAGGTGTCCACAATTCTTCAGCAGGATAGCACTCCTTCTCATACTTCAGCCTCCACATCAAGTTTCTGACAGCAAAGAAGGTAAAGGTGGTCTAGGATTGCCCAGCTTAGTCACCAGTTATGAACATTATTGAGCATGTCTGGGGTGAGATGGAGGAGGAGTAATAAGTAATAAGTTATTTGAGCCATTACAGAGATGTATGAATGCAGTCATTCAAGCTCATGGGAGTCATACACACAGAGGCGGACTGGACATAGGCAGCACTGCCGGGACATTTCCCGATGGCCTGACGGTCTATCTGGCCTGCCACCATGATTCTGGCCATTCCCTACACCTTAACCCACCCTTAAACCTACCCATACCACCAAACCTGTCCATAACCCAACCCCTAGCCCAACTCAGAAGCACCACAAGTGTTCTTAAATACATCATAAATACAGTAAGTACATTGTATTTATTTTTTTGATGCAAGTACATATTAGTTAAGGACACTTAATATAAAGTGGGACCCTTTTGTCTAAGCAAAGTCAGATCTTACTGTCCTAATTAAATAATTAAAAATCAAGGCATGATCATGTTTTATTTTGGTGAAATGATTGTAATCTAGAGGCCTTTGCCTTTCATTTAAGCCATTTCTGATACCAAGTGATCAACTAGAAGTCAAGTTATTATTTGTTCCTTCTAAAACTTAAATGGGCAACAAGACTTTTGTCAGGTGGTGTACTCTGGACTTCATTTTCTTTTTTAATAAATTATATAATAAAAACATTTATTTTGATTACTGATGCTGTTAAAAAGTATGTTCTGAATGTTAAAATGAATACTTCTTAAAGCATGTTAAGAGACATTTCTTGCAATGCAGTTGTCATTTTCATGTATTGTTGTGATGGTGTTTTATTTCTAAAAACACATTTCAGCCTCCATTTTTGGTTCTACTGAATTTCCATGTTAAACTGCAGGCAAAGATAATCATAACAGGAGAGTCAGTGTATTGTGGAAACTTGGCTGCGCTGCTGAGATTAGTCTCTCTCTTCACGTTTTGCTGATACTCATTTCCAGGAATCAGATCATATGAGCAGCTGGGATTCAGGGCCTTCGGGATGACAGGAAAGATGGCAGCCGCAATCGCCATTACTCTGCAGAACATTGGAGGTAAAGAAAACCCGATCCAAAGCCTGCTTTCACATAAATATTTGCCCAGACAGATATTTTTAATGCCAAATCATAATTTTCAGATGAGACTTAGGGCCCTGTCATACACCCGGCGCAATGTGACGCAAGGCGCAATACTTGTTTGCAAGTTTCAGCTTGGCGCAAGAGTCGTTTTGAGGTGCTGCACCACGCTCTTTAAATAGCAAATGCATTAGCGCTCATTTGTGCACCCATAGGCGTTCTTGTCTAAAAAGGAAGGCGTTCTGAGGCGCACTGCTGGCGCGTGACTATTTTGAGAAACAATAATAGATTTTTCATTAGACCAAAACAAAACCGGTCTAAACTGCAGCACAGAGTTACACACTGCTTAATACACACAAGAGAGCAATAGGCAAATATCTTTACATATATAAAAATTTAAATATTAAGGATAGGCCTATATATAGGCTATAATAAGAATATATATAGGATATAAATATAAAGGATTAAAATATTACAAAACATATTATTTTCTAGCCTACATAAATATGAAAAATCACTGCTTTTATGTCTTCTTCATCTCGGGAGGCTTTTTCAGTTCATTCATAACAATTTGCTTTTGTGTAATGTTATTATTATTATTAGCAGTATTATTTATTATATCCATATTTATATTTGTTTTATAAAAAAAACAGCTTAGATTTGCCCACCTGCAGGTTTTAGAACATAAGGGGCACAGCAAGTGTTTTAGGATATAACTAAGGTTTTTGAGCACACTTCGTTATTATTGTTCATTTATTCATTTGCTGGAAATTAGAACTGAATTTAGAAAAAGTTTTGAAACAAATATTTGCGCTTAACAAACAAAATTAAATATTTATAGACTAATTGATGTCTGTGCGTAAAGGTTTCCCTATCCAAGAGCGAAAGTAGTTCCATTATCTCTCATTCTTGCGCGGTAGATGCTCTGTTTAACTGTTTTCTGTTTTAAAAAAACTGTTAACTGTTTGCTTGTGAAAAATTCCACTTACTTTACGTCCTGTAAATAGCAAATGCACTTATGGCGCGACGCAGCTGGCTCTTAAAGGGAATGGGAGATGAGACTCTGATTGGTTTATACTCAAAACACACCTTTAACTCATTAAGAAAATAAACTCAACCCTTTTAGACCATGTGCCACGGCGCAAAGCGGATTTTCCCGTCCTTAAATTAGCAAATATGGATTCTGACACGCCTTGAAAGTGTTTTGCACATGGACCGTCAAAATAGAGCCCTTAGTTTTATTCCTCTTATCCTGCTTTTCTTAAGTTTGTTTCATTATTTTTCTTGATGTTTTTTTTTGTTTTTACACACGCTTTCTGAACTGTTAAAATGTTAAAAAACGTTAAAACTGTTAATACTGTTAAATTATTTTATGCTTATAATTAATACAGTGAGTATGCTTTTGCTATATCATGTTTTTTTTCACATTTAGACTGTAAAAATATTATATTATTTAGTTTGTTTTGTTGAAACTTTTATTTTTTGTGAAAAACATTGATTCTAGAGATTTAAGCACATTAAAAAGTTAATGATTTAAAAACATCTGCTCAATGCAGAAAAAATATAGAAATAAATTCAATTCAATTCACCTTTTACGATATAGATTTTATTAAAGCAGCTTCACATAGAAGATTATAGTAAATTGAAACCGTGTAGTTCAGTTTTCAGAGTTTAAGTTTAGTTCAGTTCAGTGTGGTTTAATATTCACTGCTGAGAGTCCAAACACTGGAGAGCAAATCCATCGATGCGCAGCTCTACAAGTCCCGAACCTTGCAAGCCAGTGGCGATAGCGGCAATGAAAAAACTTAACCAATTAGTGAAAGTGAAGGATAAAACCTCAAGAGAAACCGGGCTTATTTAGGCACGACCATTTATCCTATGGCCAAACGTCTTGTGCAGAGCTGCAGTCTAGGCGCCGGAGGCTGGATCATCTCATCCACCACCAGTGTGCAGCATTCACCTAAATGATGCGACGGAAGCCGAATTGCATTAGACCACACACCACACACCAGCTGATTGGTGAAGAGGAGTCAGAGTGATGAAGCCAATTATGATATGGGGATAATTAAGAGGCCACGAAGGAAAGAGACCAGTGTACAAATTTGGCTTGGAAACCTCTGCTTTTTTTTTTTTTTTTTAAAGGACATCCTGGGATGCTTTTAACAACCAAAGAAAGTCATGATCATAGTTTAACGTCTCATCCGAAAGACAAGTATAATGGGGCATTAGGACTCACACAGATCATAGGTTAAGCGCCCCCTGCTGGTCTCACTAACACCACTTTTATCTTTTCCATGTGGTTTCCCATCCCTCAGCCCTGCTTAGCTTCAGTGAGCAACCTTGTGAGAGTTGCAGAGAGCTAGCTGCCAGCTAAAGAGATAATAGATAATACGAAGATAATAGAAATAAATATAAAAAGATAAGTAAAAAAAGTTTAAAAGTGCCTGGAAAATTGATCAAATGTGTAGAAAGTAATGTAAATAAGTAAAGATACCAAAATAAATAAACATCTGCATGATATACAGTTGAGGTCAGAATTATTAGCCCCCCTTGTATTTATTTTTTTATTATTTTATTATTTTTTATATTTCCTAAATGATGTTTAACAGAGCAAGGACATTTCCACAGTATGTCTGATAATATTTTTTCTTTTGGAGAAAGTCTTATTTGTTTTATTTCGACTAGAATAAAGGCAGTTTTTAATTTTTTAAAAACATTTAAAGGTCAAAATTATTAGCCCTTTTAAGCTATATATTCTAAACTGGTCTATAGGACAAACCTGTTATACAATAACTTGCCTAATTACCCTAACCTGCCTAGTTAACCCAATTAACCAAGTTAAGCCTTTAAATGTCACTTTAAGCTGTATAGAAGTGTCTTGAAAAATATCTAGTCAAATATTATTTACTGTCATCATGGCAAAGATAAAATAAATCAGTTATTAGAAATGAGTTATTAAAGCTATTATGTTTAGAAATGTGTTGAGAAAATCTGCTCTCCGTTAAACAGAAATTGGGGAAAAGATAAACAGGGACTAATAATTCTGACTTTAACTGTATGTACAAAATCAGAAAAATAAGTTTTATATATTTAAAAAGCGATGAATGAATGAAAAGTGTCTGCAGAATGTAATAAATAAATAAATAAATAGAAAAAAATGTAGTAATTAAGAAGCTAAATAATCCAGCAAACCATTTGTTTATGTTATAGATGTGTTTTAGCAGAAAACAAGTAAACTGAGCTTTAATGTAATGCTTATCTATACTTTTGCTTCTATTTCTTTTAATTACTCTAATTTTTGTCTTTTCTATAGCCATGTCCAGCTACTTGTACATCGTCAAATCAGAGTTTCCACTTGTCCTGCAGGCATTTCTGAGGACAGACACTACATCAGGGTAAGTACTTTAGAGTTTCACCACAAAATTCTAAAAAAAAAGAGACAATCTTGATGTTTTCTCAACATGCCATTTAGCCAGTTAAGCATGAATGAATTTACAGTTCTTTGGGGTCGCTCCAGTCACCAGTGCTGTCATTATCAGCTGACAGTACACTGCAGAGCAGGTCAAACACCTGCAGTTCACCAGGGTAACGCTTCTAAATCTGAAACTGGCATCAGGAGGAGGTGTGGTTGCTGCTGTGGACTGTTATTGGTCAGTTAATCAGAGGATGGCAGCTGATTGGATGATACCTTTTCCAGCACATCTCTGTATTTCTGTGCATGATTCTATTTTAAACAAGCGTAGGGACATGGACGCTACTAAATCTGCTTTTTAAAACAGCTGCCTTCTGCAAGTTTTAAAAGTGCTTGAAAAAGGAATCAGAAGTGTAGAACATAATAAATATAGATACCAAAATAAATGCATCATTCATAAAACCTTTCTGCAAGAAAAATTTACAAGCTAAGATTTTCTGATGCCTTCAGAACTACCTGAATCCTTCATGGCATAGATTCAACAAGGCATACCTGCCAACACTTTTTCCCGGGAGTCTCCCGTATTTCAGACCCATCTCTCGCCCATCTCCCGTATTGTTCTATCTCCCGGAAAGCTGCCGGAATTCCCCCCACAGCCCCCATCCACCCCACCACTACCCCCCTCCCTTTTCTCAGCTTGTTGCTTTTTGGTACAGTCCCCATACGCATCGTACCCAACGCTTAACCATCTTCATATTCGCTCCCCGTTTTTCAGTTCACACTCACCTTCCTCCGATGCTCTTCACTTCGCGTGCAACCCCCTCTTCACATCGCACGCCCTTGGAGAAAATCTCCCGGATTTTATGATCCGAATGTTGGCAGGTATGCAACAAGGTGCTGGAAATATTCCTTAGAGATTTTGGTCCCTATTGACACTATAGCGTCATGCAGTTGCTGTACATCCATAATGTGAATCTCCGTGCTCTTTTGGCCAGTACAGTGAACTTATTGTCATGTCCTAGAAAACCAGTCTGAGATAATTCATGCTTTATGACATGGTGCTTAACTTAGAATGCTTAGAACGACAACAGAATTGCAACAGCCCCGCGATTCCACCATTTTGAAGTGAAAGCTATCAGTCGTCCATTGGATCTCATTGCTATCGCGATGGCAAGCAGCTGCTTTCTTTTTATTTATTTATTTAAAAAGCGCATTAAAGCTGAGATACAACCTGAAAGTCGACAATACAACACTTACTACCACAATCATCAGCACTTTTAATAGTTTATTTTACAAACTTATAATATGCTGTTGTTCTATTGGAATTTTAATCCAAAATGGCTGCGGCGGCATCTAGTGGCTGTTTCCCAAATCGCACTAGAGTGTCGCCTCTTGGTGATTCGATGCTCTTTGCTGTGGTCATAAAAGGATGGAAATGGTCAGCAACAATACTCAGATGGCACAACCCTAAAAATGGTTGTGCATGAAAATTCCAGTAGATCAACAGTTTCTGAATTACTTAAAATGAAGTCCTTAAAATTGTGTGTCCGAGGATGTCTGCTTCCACAAATTTAAAGAAGTTAGCGTTCAATTAATTGTTAATCTAAATAATTAACAATGTTTTTATCAGGTGAGAAAAATCAGGAAAAACTGTTGCTTACTGTTTTAATAATAATAATAATAATAATAATAATAATAATAATAATAATAATAATAATAATAAAACATTACATTTATATATTTACCTTACATTTATATAGTGCTTTTCTAGGCACTCAAAACGCTTTACACATGGGGGGAATCTCCTCATTCATCACCAGTGTGTAGCATCCACCTGGATGACGCGATGGCAGCCGTTTTGCAGCAGACCGCACACCACATACCAGCTGATTGGGGGAGAGGAGACAGAGTGATGAAGCCAATTATGATATGGGGAGGGTAAGGGAGGCCATGATGGACAGAGGTTGGCCATGATGCCGGGGTTAAACCCTTACTCTTTTTCGCAAGACATCCTGGCATTTTTAACAGCTACAGAGAGCCAGGACCTCAGTTTAACGTCTCATCCGAAAGACGGCGCTCACTGAGCAATATAGAGTCCCTGTCACTAAACTGGGGCATTAGAACCCACACAGACCCCTACTGGCCTCACTAACACCATTTCCGGCAGCAACCTAGCTTTCCCATGTGGTCTCCCATCTAGGTACTGACCAGGCACAGCCCTACAGAGAGCTAGCAGAGTTGCAGAGAGCTAGCTGCCGGCAATAAAAAAGATATTAAAAAGATATTAAAATAATTATATTAAAATAGGATATTATATTAGGAAGTTATATTAAAATTATATTAGCATTAAGGTTTTAGGATTTTTGGTTGTCTCATGTATATTATTAGCAAAATAAAAAAGCACATGTAAAATCTCTTTTGTTAAAAAACTTTAGTTTTAATATGTACAAAAAAAGAAATAAGAATTGTAAATTTCACTTATTATAAATCTCGCTAATTGTAAATCTCGCTATCAAGACTGAAAACACATCTGTTTAGCTGTGTCTTTACTAAATGAGCACCTAGCTACATCTGACAGATTTAAAAACAGTTTTAACACATTTTAATCTGTATTTAATCATTCTTATTTTGTTTTTATTTCTAATACTTGTTTTTTTTATTCCTGTTTTATGTAATGTATAAAAAATGTGCTATATAAATAAACTTGCCTTGCATATTTAATAAAATGTTAATATTAAAGCATATTTAATGGAATATTGCCTCATTTTCATAGTTAAACAACAATTTGCAAAACTTGCAGTACAAAAAAAAATGCATAGACATAGTGACCGGTAATGTTTACTAACAGCAAGCGTTTACGACGATCAAGCTTAATCAGCCATCTACAATTTGCATCGATGTAAAGGATTACCCACAATGAGTTGGCGATTAATCATTGATATGCCCACTTCTGACTCGTGTAAAGTGTATTGCAGAATAACTGGATTAGTTTGAGGGTTTCCAATCAGCAGTGAAAGTGTAGATGGGTAAGGTGATTTATTTATGAGAGCGGTGTAATTCTCTCGTCCAGGCTTTGGTCCCAGAAGCTTTACTCTGTTGAACAGGTCAGCAGTGTTAGAAATGGAGTAAAGATGGAGGCGTGTGCTTCAGCGTTAACATTATGCATTGACTGAGAGCTTTTGTATAATTTCAGGGCCAGGTGCACACTGAAGTGGCACTGTTATATATGCTCTCTCTCTCACACACACACACATAGTAGTGGTGTAACGGATCAAAAATGTCACGGTTTGGATCACATTATCGTTTTTTAATCATGGATTGGACCATTTTTCAGATTAGCCAAAAAGGGGAGGAGACAAATGTAGTTTCATTTCCATTTATTACAAAAACAGCACTGCAACACAGCCTTGGTTTTAACAAAACCAATATATATATATATATATATATATATATATATATAT